AACGTCCGCCAGCCATTCGTGTCCCGGAACATGGCTAAAGGCATTTTGCCAATTTCCCTTCGATGGGCCCTCCATTCGACCCATTCGAGCCATTCGGCCTGACGTGACAAAGTGCGTTGGTCGGACTCCGGACTCCGGGTTGCGGGCAGGGGGCAGGAGCAGCGGGCTTTGTGCTACGGGTTCCGCACCCGGAGTCCGGACTTTGGACGCCGGATCTTATCGTTTAATATGCGCACTTGATGCCAGGTACTTACGGTCACTTGTCCATTGGGCGTCTCTGGTGGTTCCCAAGTAATAACCATCGTGGACGAGCTCAGCGTGCGCACTTGGACATTACGTGGTGCACTTTCCATTTCTACAGGCGACGGGGAAGACAGAAATGGGAAATGGGTTATATTAGCATTGTCATGACAAAGGTTGGCCATATAACAATGGCTGGCTGGGATGGCCGCTTGCACACCAGATATGTAAGTGGCCTGGCTAAGCGAATTTCGAAAATGCATTGGCCCTATGAAAACTCATTGGTTACCGGCTTTAGAGTCCTGGAGGACTATTTGCAAGGGCTCTGGGCTACACTAGCCGCACCAGAACTCGATTAGATAACTACTCTTTCATGATAATGACCCCATAACTACATTTTTGTTTACTTTATTGGATGAATGTTGCTTCAAGTCTGCATAGCTTGAATTATATATAATTATTAACAGAAATAGATTGATTGAAACCTGCCATAATTTGCAGTCGCTTATTTAAATGCCACATCCTTTGCCACGTGGTGTTGAATGTAGCTTTTAAATGCTTACAACCTTTATTTGACTATTCGGAATTTGATTATAGTTTCAGCTTCCGCTCGCTATTAAATGATTTTGGAATATGCTGCCAGTTCAGCACACCATTCAACGCGATTTCCACCCGAAAATCATAAATATGCAATTTTGTTAAATGATTTTCTGGGGCGAAATGCGCACAACGACAAACAAATGCCATTATCGAGAAACTAGTGAAGCCATGAGGCGAAGGGGGTGGCGCTTTCTGTGGCATTAGGGCATCGCAAATGTTTTGCACAGCAAACAATCCCCATCCATCACAATTTGTTTTTCCAATGAACGCTGCGTTGTTGTTTTAGCTTCTGCTCCTGCTGCTCCTGCTGCTGGAGATGCGTATTTCATGTCGCGTTTCATGGTCGCAGGAGGTGGAGCAGGAGGTGGAGATGGAGGCGGAGTGGAGTGGGGCGCTGGGATCTGCATTTCCGGGGAAAATTGAGCAAATTGTTATGGCGCGTTGGAGCCTAGCGGCTGTTATAGCGAGAATTTTGCATTTATAAACTGATTTTTGTGTGTGCTCGCCACCACCGCGGCCCCAAAAAATGATTTCCCGCGAAGCATGAATCTAGCTATTCGTCATGCATTTGCATGCATTTCAAAAATTTGTCGGTCAACTGCATTGTCAGCCGCGAAATCATCGGTGGCATTCTGGCATCCACACCGCCCCCTTGCCAGCGAAAAAGATAACCCCATCGAGCAGCCCCATCATGAATGGCAATTAGTGGTAGAATTCTCCATCACTCAATTTTCCTTATGTGTGATATGGGCATGGATGGTGTGTGTGGTGTGTGTAACCGATTCGTAAACCGATTGGTTAATGGCCAATCAATAAATTCCAATTTCTCACAATTTTACTGCAATATCCACAAACGGTGCAGCAGCAGTTTTATCCACAATTTATATCGCAGTCATCTCATCTGTTACCCAAGTGCTACCCCCAATTGCGAGTGTGTGTGTGCTGGCCTGGTCCATTGCTTGTTATAGCCAAGATTTGCATGCAGCTCGCACACACCGATTCACCGATAGATCCAGACAAAAATTTCCTCCCAGCCCTTGTGAATCTATGTGTGGAGTGTGTGGAGAAGCAGGATGCAGGGCATCACGTAAGCTGCATTTAAGGGCATATCCATTACATACGGATACGCTCCATTAATATGTATCCTTGCATGCCAGCGCACACGCCTACTCCTTATAGCACCAGCTTACAACACTAAATCGTAGCCCCCTTTCCCATTTTCCATTCCCCATTTCCCAGCCCCACTCCCATCTTCATCCGCACAAGGCTTGGAGGCAGGCGGAGCATGTGCAGGCCATATATCTGATTACTTGACGAAAGGATATGCTCAGGACTCGTTGAATTCTCGCCCCAGACCCCATTGCGGTCCGCACTTAAAATGTGGGTTTTGATTACTGCCCCTCAAAAACAGTTTCTGCTCTCGAACGCTTTCACAAACATTAATGAGTAGGTTTACCAAATGCAGAAGCAGCATCTCCTGCAAGTTTACTGCTGCCTTGTGACTGCTAAGAAGCTGCCCAAGCTGCGTGCCAGAAATATACATACAAGTATGGTCAATTCTGTGTATCCACTGGAAGGCGTTTGCATTTTACTCTATGCTCTCATAGTTTCAAATTCAATGAAGCAGTGCCAAGTAGATACTTGCTTCAAAGGGAAAAAAACGCGCCCCATATTGAGCTTAAAATACGAATTGTTAACATTTTGAGGACCTTAGGTTTCCGAACACAGGTGCCTTAAGTTGCTCCCCATTTCAGCTAATGCACTCCGCTCCTTTGTAGTGTAGCGTTACTGGCCATGAGAAAACCGTAGGATTACCCACTTGGCTCATCTGCTACCTAAGCCAGTGACACGTGTTAAGCATTACGTTGACCTGCTGAAGCCCGTCCTGTGGGATGCCGTCCGGAGCCCAGCTTTAAGCGCCCATAAACGTGGCCATCGGAATATTATTTCGAAACGATATTGGGCAAGCGATAAGCATAATTGCGGCAATAAAAGTTTCCAACTTTTGTACGACGCGCTCTTGGATCCGCTGGTAAAAATGCAACTGCAGCTGCTGCCGTTGATGGAAGAGGCGAGCTGAACGAACTGGGGAATACCCTTTAACAATTGATCCTGAACTACAGGGTAATATTCCCAGTTAAGAGGTGAATCAAAAAGAGTATAGCTGATTACAATTAGGATATTTACCTAGCCTCAGCTTTAGACTAATCATGAAGTGTTTCCACAGGACTTTGTACATACTATACCCTATAGTTTTAGGGTCCAGGCCAGTGGTACAGGGCTCCTAGCTGCTGGCACACCTAATCATACCCTGTGAGCGCTCAAAAAAGCAGCAGTAGCAGTAGCAGGAAAGGCATGTCCGACAAGCGAACGCTTACGCGGGAATTGCCAGGACTAAAACAACGTTGCAAGCACCCAGCACACACATCCGCATCCAAACGAACGCATAACAATGCAAACTTTATGGGATTTACGGGGGAGGATATCCCCCATAGCCCCGGCTGGGGCGCCACCCCCCACCCCCCCTCACGCGCATACGTCAGGATATCGCCAGGACGCGTGGTTCTGCATCGCAGCTGCGTATGCAACGATTTTTTTACGTTGCATTTACCTTTGATTCTATCTAGCTACTTGTTATTCCGCTTTCTTTGCTCCGCTTTACTTTTTGTACTTTTTATACCCTTTTCACATTTTTCGGGTCGGATTTGTGCTGCTCAACAATTGTTATTGAAATTGTTTTGCCAATTTTTGGCCAACCATAAAATTTTGTTTGCCAAGGATACTTACTTGTGCCACCGAATGAGAAATCGCCTGGGAAGGCAATCGCATGTGAGAAAGCGAGACAGAAAGAGAGAGAGAGAGAGAGAGAGGGCAAATAGACATTTTCAAGAAGGGTTAGTACGATTCCCGACATAATGGACCAAGGCAAATAAAAACGGATCTAAGCGCACTCTAAATTCAAAATGAAATTGGTTAAAAGTCCTTTTGTGCAGCATGTGGGAGACGACGAGGCGAGAGAAGGCAGCAGTTAGTTAAATGTCCTTCGAATGTAAAGAGGGACATCCCCACATCCCCACATCCCCACATCCGCGATACTCACTTGTCTCACCGGTGGTACATGTCGCTGGAGCCGAGGGCGGTCCGCGTCCAATATTGTTCACGGCTATCACGTAGAACTCGTACTCCGTGTAGGGACTCAGGGCGCGGACCACATAGTACATGGTGATGATGCCGCTGATCTCGCTGAAGGCCTGGTTGGCGTTCTTCGGCTTGTACTGGATCACGTAATACTGCAAGTCCTCGGGACCCTTGTAGGACCACTCCAGACGCACCGAAGTGGCGGTCACCTCGGAGATTTGCACATCGGTGGGTGCGGTGGGCAGAGCTGTGGAAGAGACCAAGTTGTGTTGTTCCCATTGTCAGTTTGCCGAGTAAGTACTCTAAGCCCCGCACTTACACTGCACTTTAACCACCGAAACGGAATCGATTTGGCCCAATGTGGAGGCCGCTATGCAAGTGTAGTTGGCGCTCTCCTGGATGTTGATCAGCTGCAGGACATTTCGCCCGATGGGCATCTCATTCTCGGGAGTCAGATCTTCGGAGCCTGAAAAGGGTAGTAATTGAGCATTTGAAAACAATGTTGTACAACCGTTTCACATACCCTTCATCCACTTGACATGGGGCATGGGTGAGCCGACGGCTATGCAGGACAGATTCAGATTGGACCCCAACATCACCTCACTGATGGTCTCTGGTGGGCGGGAGAAGGTGGGCGGAACTCGACGCACTTTCACATACAAATTGGTGGCCTTCGAGTGCTCCGTGCCCATTGAGTTCTCGGCCACACATTCGTATTTGCCTTGGTCCTCCTCGCGACTGTTCTCGATTTGCAGGAAGCCTAGAAAAGAGGGAACGGTTGAAAACAAGTTATATTTATATTTAAGATACATTTTAGATTTCATGCTACTAAAGTTCTACCTAAGATTCTATGCTTATTGGCGACTTACCTGTAAACCTATCCCTAGAACAGCTGCCATATCTTCAGATCTTACCTGACCTATGGTTAAACCATTTAGATGTATTTATATTACAGCCTACCTAAAGCTGCTGCAATTTACTACCTGGTTCCCTATATAAGATACTTTTCCATGACCAACGAAATCAGTACTGGTACGAGTCTCTCCACGAAAACAACACAAAATGTTGAACGTGTTTTTGATAACCAGCCTGTTTTATGCTGCGAGTGGCACCACCTATGTGACCACCAATAGTCACATAGAGATGCCCATATACCAGAAGCGTCCTTTGAGCGAGCAAATGGAGATGATTGATATCCTGGATTTGGGTGACCGGCCGAGACGACAGGCGGAGCCCAATCTCCACAATTCAGCCTCCAAATTCCTGCTCGAAGTTTACAACGAGATTAGCGAGGACCAAGAGCCCAAAGAGGTCCTGCATCAGCGCCACAAGCGCTCGCTGGACGATGACATACTGATTTCAAACGAGGATCGACAGGAGATTGCCAGTTGCAACAGCATCCTTACCTTTTCCAGCCGCTTGAAACCCGAGGAACTGGGCAACGAGCTTGATATGCACATTACCTTCAATACCAACGATGTGCCAGTGGATTTGAGTTTGGTTCAGGCCATGCTCAGGATATACAAGCAGCCCAGTCTGGTGGACAGAAGGGAGAACTTCACCGTGTCCGTGTACCGAAAACTGGACAATCGCCAGGACTTCTCGTATCGCATTCTGGGCTCTGTAAATACTACGAGCAGCCAACGCGGCTGGTTGGAATTCAATTTGACAGAAACTCTGAGGTCTTGGTTACTCAATAAGGGACTCCAACGGCGAAATGAGCTGAGGATATCAATTGGCGACTCCCAACTGAGCACCTTTGCAGCTGGATTGGTGACTCCACAGGCCAGCCGCTCTAATTTGGAGCCCTTTATTGTCGGCTATTTCAACGGCCCCGAGCTGTTGGTCAAAGTACAGAAACTTCGCTTCAAGAGGGATCTGGAGAAGCGCAGGACAGGTGGTTCCGCACCACCACCTCCTCCACCACCCGTGGATCTATACAGACCTCCGCAGTCCTGCGAGCGCCTCAACTTCACCGTGGATTTCAAGGAGCTGCATATGCACAACTGGGTGATAGCGCCCAAAAAGTTCGAGGCCTATTTCTGCGGCGGCGGTTGCAACTTCCCGCTGGGCACCAAAATGAATGCCACCAACCACGCCATCGTCCAAACGCTGATGCACCTGAAGCAGCCGCATTTGCCCAAACCATGCTGCGTGCCCACGATTTTGGGAGCCATTACCATTCTGAGGTATCTGAATGAGGACATCATCGACCTGACCAAATACCAAAAGGCGGTGGCCAAGGAGTGTGGCTGTCACTAGATTCGGTTGCCTATTTCGATTGTGATGTACATATTAATTTTATGGTAATAAGTTTAATTAGAGAAAATAAACATAAAATTCTTGTAAGACTGAACTATTTGAGTTTCTATAATATTAGTGTTAAGCCTTGTTGGCTTATCAACTGTTTGAAAATGCTTAGAATTATTAAGCCTTTAAGAAAGGGCCATCAATGCTTAAATATGTTACTAACACTGTCCATAAAACTGAAGACTCAACTAGTTCCTTCACTTAGAAGAACCCATGCTGATTTGAATATTGTGGCGTAAGCTTGTACGCTTATTTACAAAACCTTTACTTGTTACGCTCTTTTATGACCGCCTTTGGTAATGGACAACGGGGTTTAACCGTAACAGACTCGTAAGATCTTAGATTTATCAATAAATTTGAAAGTCGAATGGTGTTTGCTTATCTCACATCACTTTGATAGGCAACCCACATTATCCTTGCCCCATAAAAAGGTCCTCAATTTACCTTGCTTTTATGCACGGAATCCATCCACTCGACTTTGGGTTGTAGATGCCACGGCTGCCACGAGAAGCAACACATGGAAAATTAACACTTTTTATATGATTTTAAAAGCCATATAAATTTTACGACAGTCACCACCGCCGAAGATGTTGCAATCCCTCCAATGAGAAATTACACACCCGCACACGTCTATTAAACACCGAGGCTCGCTTTTCCGGCATATTACGCTAATGTGGATGACAAACATACGGCGGAAACGACGGATGAGTATTTTTGATGTTCGGTGGAGTGGGGAGGCCCATAAAATGCTCCACATTGACATTATATTTATATGACTAATAAACAATGAAGCACGAGGCGGCGATGAGTAGACAAAATGAATTTAGGCCAAACAAAATCCACTTCCCTTTGGGGTTGTTTAGTCCCCCAAAAATCCAGTGGCTTTTAAATCAACAGTTACGAATTCGTTTTCCGGCAAACAACATTTTTGACAGCCATTGGCATTTTATATCTGGCTAAAACCATTAATTTGTGGCGCAAATGCGTGTGCTATTGCCCTTTTTAATTAACCAATAACTACGATTTCACACGATAATTCAGAGCGCCATAGTTGACATCACATGATTTGTTTTACTCGGTTTATAATTTGTTTTGCAAATTCATTTCATACTTTACAGAAAATCATATTAGCATTTTAAATGAAGCATGAGAGATCCGTCAACAGCGTGTGAATTTCTAAGCGTTTGAAATCCAAAGCCAAGTGTTACTGTTTGCGTATGTACGAAATGTGCGAGTATGTGCGAAATTAATCATATTGAGTTCGATATTCAATTTTCTCTCGCATACAATTAACGAACAACCTCAATTCAATATGCACACGTATCCACATCAGTGTGTGTGTGCGTGTTGTGCGGGGGAGCGATTTTAAAATCTGCATGAAATATGACAATTAATTTGCGAAACAGAGTTTTTCATGTGCAATATTATCGTTTAATTATTTATTGCTGAATTTTGTGCATATTTAAGCAGTATTGATCGCGCTTAAGCGGAAAGCTTAAATTACAAAATCGTATTTTCTTTTAATATGATACTGAGCTTAATATTGTGGTGAATCGCCTGATCAATTGCACACGTTTGTTGTTCTTTATAGGAACATCGTTTTATTTTCCCACCACAGTCACATAAGAACATTCAATTTATTTTTTTTTTATAATTTACTACTTAGCCCAGGTAAGTTTTAAAGAGAACTAATTACCATTTGTTCCAAAGAGCTTTTAACGTGTGTTGCACATTGCAATTTTGTGCTGGTTTAATATCTCTTGACAAAGGGTTGTGTAGTTACCATTTAAAAGGAATAATAAATAGACTGTGTCAATAAACAAATATAGGAGTACAATCGACTACAGTTGAGTGAATCATTTTAATGGCTTCTGATGTTGCAGTGGAATATTTTTTATTTTTATTATTATCGACTCCAGGGTCTCGAATAAGGGTACCTTAAATAGGCAATTTTTAAAAGTAAACAAAATCGTAATTTATTCAGAGCTTACATATTTATCTCTTAATGGGTTAGCAAATGGAATTTCTAAATTGTTTGGTTTTTGGTATTTTCCCCTAAAAATAATCCTTGACTACGCTTGTGCCCATCGAATATTGAGCAAAAACTGCAGGACAGCGTTAAATGTTGCAAAATCGCTCAGTTCGCACTAAAGCCATGTTTATTGTGTCTATTTTATGTACCTTTCCGTTTTACTATGGTTGTCATTTTTTGTTTGATGGCAACAAAACAAACGGGGGCGAGGAGCTGGTGGGGGAAATAAAAAATGGGCAGATTGCTGTGCGGTTTCAGTGCTCCGCCCATTGAAGCTGTGTTTTAGGTTTGTTTTCGCTGTGAAAAGGACGCTTTGTGCTTTTATTCCCGCTGCCACTGCCGGCTCACCTATAACATGCATCAAAGTTGATTGTTGCGAAATTTATTGCATGCTATTTGGCCTCCATGGCGGAACATTTATTACGCTTGTTGCACTTCCTGTGCAGCAGGATTCCCCCAACAGGCTGGCCCATTGTTTAGGGCCCGTTGAACCATTTAAACAAGCATTAAATGGAGCAACTTTCATAAATAATCGACCCCTTCGTTCCCGCTGACATGTGTAGTTCAGCGATCCAAACAAACATTTTTTGCGCCATCATCCATGATGAAATTGTTCAAGGTAAAGCGCCGGAATACGATGCAAATTATGGAGCAAAATGACAACGTCTGTGGAGAGCGTTGATTAAAATTTACGAAGCCAACTTTCATTAAGAGTCTTGCCAACCCTCTGCCAAAAACATTAACGTAAGCCCCACACAACCACACTCACTCACTCACACACACACACTTGCGTGCGGAATGGCTGTAGCAATAAAAATTAAGCTAGCATACATCTGGGCGCCGTCTGTGTCCCGAATGTAAGTCATTTTCACCGAGTTTTCGGCCTTGTCTCTGCGTGCGTGTGCTACTCTTATGAAAATTAAAAATTCTTTCAAGCGCCATAAAAAAGAAATACAAACAAATGGACAGACTAGCAAAAGAGCCCGACTGGTGAGCAGGTGAATAATTTATGAAAAATGACGCTTAACCTAAAGGGGTTTGGCTTTAAACCTTTCAGAAAAATTGTACACATCATTCTTGAGAGTTAATGGCTGTGTTTTATACATAATCAGCTTTTTCAACTCTTTGTACACGGTTAAAACACTTCATAGTCAGGAAAAACCGGAAAACAATCGATCGATCGTGTTTCTTTAGTACTGATTGGTTTAGATGATGAGGTTTAGAAGAAATGAAACAGAATCTGAAAACTGGTTTTATGTTATGATCTTTTTTATCTTACTTAGACAATTCTTTTATTACAATTCTAACTTTTCAGAAGCGCTTTCCAGATTGAAGCACCGTAGTTTGGTGAAATGCAAGGGAAAAACGCGAGCAGCACTCGTCGAGGGCCATGGAGCACCTAGTGCCACCCAATGCGTCCGCCTCCCCATGCGGCCGCTGTAAATGTGGCAAGACATCGGTTGCGGGTTAGTTTGGACGTGGCACACATGTGGCGCGCCACACAGCTGCACTTCCGCTAGCGCAGTCATTTTCATATTCAGCAACTTCCGCTCGAAACGCACACTCTTGCACTTTCGTTGCCAAGGATGTGAGGTTCGCGTTTGGGTTCGACTTTGGCTTTGGCATTGGGTTCAGCTTCAAATGCTTGGCTTCACGCCCAAATGGGATTATTAATTTAATTATGCTTTAATTTAAGTAGTCCTCGTTGTCGTCGTCGTTACAAAGTGACATTTATGGGGCGACTTTCCTTACTCCGCCTCAAGTTCATCCACATAAAAGTGTGCAAAGTTTCAATTTTGGTAATGCAAGTGACGACGACTTATCGTCAACCGAAAGAAGAAACCCAACTGACCCCCATTTCATCCACTTCATGAGGCCGAGGAGTGTGGAGGTGGTGGTGGAGGTGGAGCAGGACTTGCCCCCGCTGGGAGAAAGCCGTTCTAGTCATGCACATTTTGGCAATTACTGTCTCATTTTCAACAAAAGTGACTGTCAACTCTTTCGAGCTGCTGGAGGAGCGACAAGGAGTGACAAGGAGGAGCTCATAATTTAAGCATTAAACTTTTCCCAAAATGCTTTCAAGTTGACTTGCCTTAACTACAGTTTTACGGCTCAAGTAAATAATTGCGTGCAGAGCCCGTTTCCCGCCCTCCCGCTTTTCCGCTTTCCACTTTCCCCATTTTCTCATTTTCCCTCCGCAATTTCCTCTCGGCCCACAGGTTGGTCACGTCAAGTGGCAAGGCGATTGTAATGATGGAGCCCAGCAATTAAAGAGTTGTGGAGCCGGAGCCCAGGTCGCAGTTCGCAGTTCGCAAGTCGAGGGGCCATTCTCGTCGCAGCTGCTGCCCCTTTTTGGGGGGCAGGAAGTGGAGCCGTTGCCACGTGCAAGTTTCGAACAAAAGAAGGTATAAAAATGTCATATAAAAAATAAGACGATGTTGCAAGCTGGGCTCTCTTCCGCGACTCAAACTGGTCATAAGTTGCCTTTAAGTTTTGCACATAAAGGTCTACCTGCTGAGTTATATGGCCTCTATTCGCTCTTTTACGCCCCGGCAATCCGGCGAGCAATCCAACTCAATACTCAGCTAGTTAAAACTTGAGTACCCACTTGAGGAAAGCTGTGTTTAATTTTAACTAGACTTTTATTGGCATGTTTTGCTTATGAGATCGGGCTCTTTACATTCACTTAATGGAATGGAATGCTCGAGGAAACACAAAAGCCAGCTGAGTTTACACTTTCATTTACGCACCTACATTTCCTTAAAGTTTATAAAATAAAGATTCAAAATAATTTACTTATACGTGTGTGCCAAAACTGTGCCTGAGGTTCTGACTGGGACAATTCAATTGCACCTGCTCAAGGAACGGAAGCCATTATCGTCTCAATGGCTCCCAGAAAGACCCTCCTCGTTGACACTTCCATTCAGTTGAGTTCATCTGCCAACACACAACCCATTAAGACAATTGGCTCAGGCGAAACCAATTTCTGATAAGCCTCTTTTGCTTAAAAGCCAAATTATGATATTTGAAAGAGCCCAACATTTTTCTGCTACTCCTTTCCCTTTTGGCCAATGAGGATTCCAACCCCAAGAATGTAATTTCCCCAGACGCTGCGGCAGAACCTTTTCATGAATAAAAAAAATTACAAGGAAACCAGTAAGGGAAACAGGGAAAAACCGTGGTCACTACGCCAAGGGTTTTTTTATTCCTTCCGTTATGCTTTTTATTGAACAAAAGCCCTCGGGGACTATTTGGCGAAATAAAAATAAAGGTATAA